CTTGAATTCGAGAGCAATAAATAAAGACAAGAGACAGCCAGTTAGCTTGGATTTATAGAGTCGGTGTCTAGTCCCTCCCCGCGGGAGGAATTAGTCCGGTTGTGAAACGGTTTTATTAAATTAGCCTGGATATTGAGGGGGAAGGGGGGGGAGAGAAATATCACGGCTGGACAATTATCGGTTTCCCTTCTGATTGCTGGAGCGGTGTCTTTGATCCGCTGGAGAACCTCCGGTGATTAGGAAATCAGGGCCTAGGGCTTACACCCACTAGCCGAGGTATCGTATCTTGAACTGGAAATGAAAATAAATATAATATTATGTGTTCTTGCATTGAAACTTTTACTTTCTCAAATAAGGTCTTCCCTGAACAAAAATATTAATCGGTATACCTTGACTGATTTAACCGATTACGGAGGAAATCTGTGGGTAAGTACCCAAGAGAGAAGTAGGTTTGTTTAAAGTCTCAAATAACGGAGTTTTTCGAAGGCAGGAGAAATCAAAAGTGCAACCATGGGGATGATTCAAGCACCTCGTTGTAGGTCGTAAGGTATATATTCCCACGTAATGTGATTTTTGGCTAATCGTATAAATTTTATTTTATTTTTTTCTGTTGACATTACCGACCTTGTGAATTTTTTGTCGTATTAACAAGCCTTCTCCATCACCATTTCTTCCCAGTTATCTACAAGCAGCTCAATTACATAATTGTTTATTCGATCAATCCATCTGGTTTTTGACCTTCTGCGTGGTCTTTGGACTACTATTGAGGGATTCATTGCCGTGTAGAGGCTTCCAGATGGATTGCTCCGAGATACATGTCCATATCTTAACCTTGCCTTCACATGATATTGATTGACCAGTTCCTGTAAGCAGTTTTTATTAGCCTTTCTCTTCCGTGCGTCCTGTATTTTGATCCTTGATAGCTCCTGTTATCGCGTGGAGAACTTTTTTCTCGAATCTTTTAATACTTCTTTCTAAGATACAGGTTACTGCCGTGATATCACAGTAGTGAATCAGATCTTTATCATATCATTGAACAGTCTTAATTTGAGTTTCGTGAGATTGTTCGGGATTGCAATACCTTTGAAAGAGAGCTGTATCATTTGCATATCCAGGGGTTTAATGATTCGTTACGGCATTATTTTAATAAATAAAAATGATTATTTTTTATTATTGTTCGTGTCTAGGTATAAAATCAGGATCCCTGGTCCTCCTATGAGTGTTAGGTGTTCTTCACTTGATAAATATTCTTTAAATCTTTTACTGTCCACTGAAAACTCAATCGCGTATCATGTCCAGGTAACCTTGATGAACTTATCGGATTAGCTTATTGACAAAGGTTAGGTCCATAATACCGTCACGACCCAAATGGAGAGGACGCCAACGTGCCTGGGCATGATATTGGTTTATTAGATGATATGCAGCCTTGTGATCCTTGCGAAATCAGAGAGCGGAGATGAACTTGAAGAGCTTCATATTTACCCTATCATTTCAAGAACATATCCTCATTACTAAACAAGACAGTTAGGCAATATTTACTTTTTAAAGGAATAACTAATTTTTTTTGTCGGAAAATTTAATTTTTTTATCATCATCACTTGTATAATCGAAGTAGTAATGGATCTGTTCACTTTAGACATCCTTGCTTCGACTATCTTCCAACTCCTCCAGTCTGTGCATTTATTTCGAAAATAGTTTCATTTACAAATTTAGCTCCGATCTCTAAATCTTTGATTCGTCTTTACAATACAATACAATTTATTACTTTATTTATTTGTATTATATAAGGTCAACTTTTCACTGTTACTTATAGAGATTCGTCACCTTCACCAAGAGATATATAGATATTTTAAATATATTATTTTATTCAATGAAATTCAACCAACAACGTTCGAGCACCATTTCCTCATTTTCAACTTGTCATTTCCTATTCAATTGTTGTCTGGACATTCAGTAGCAAGAATAAAAAAAAAAAAAAAAATCTATTTTTTAGCCATTTTCACTCCTGCTATTTTTTTTTATTTTATTTTTTTTTTTTTGGAGTGGTTCCTGCATGGCTAGTATAAGCAAAGTAGGTTAAAATTTCTTGACATCGTACAAATATTGTTCATCTTTACATTGCTAATTCCAACTACCAAAATCATTAAAATTTCTGAAATAATTTATTTTATTCACTTAAGTTATTATTTAATTTAATGATTTCATTGTTTTTACTTTCCGTTATATAAACAGAACCACAAAATTATATAAATAGAATGAAACCGTTTCAGGTAAAATTAATCATATGTTTAATAAAATAATTATTTCGGATTTTGAATGTTTATACCATAACGTCATTTTCACTGTGCATTTGTATTCTAAGGCATGATCGGAGTAAGCACAGATGCATATGTCAGCTCATAATTGAAAACATATGCATTCACTACCTACAACATAGTTAAAATCCTGTTTCATTTTATTAGTTACAACCAATTGTATAGTTTATGTATGTCTATTCTCTTCATTATATATTTTAATGCAGGCGATGTATGTAATGCAAATGCAACTGGTGTAATTTAGACGAAGACTGGTAGGGAATAAATAAAGAACACATGTCCCGAATGTATTTATGTAATCAGGTTTGTTAGCCCGGTGGGGTAGAGATATTGCTCCTATTCCTTATCGGGAAGGTCGTTAGTTGGTTGGCGGTTGGATGTATCCATTCCTGTATCTTTTGTAACGTCTAATTTATCGCTCAAAATAAAAAATTCATCGATTATAGCAACATTTATTTACAACTCAACAACACAATGGATTCTCCTTATCTTATGTTGTTCCGGTTATTGGTACAAATGCGCTAACAAACGCCCTTAGCCTATCTCATATTTCAATGTCCGATTGTGTTTTGGTATTCAGATGTTAGTGTGGATCTCGGGGTTTATATATTTAGATTAGACAGTCGATTTATTCTTAGAAGAAGTTAATAATTTATCCATTTTCACATGTCCCAATATTATGACACTGTGCAACGAGATCTATAAAATTCCATTTTGTACTCTGTCATGTTGTAAATCTCTTTACCAACAGTTTCCATCTGGAATAAATATAAATAAATTGATATATGAGATTTTTACATTTTAAATTCACGGGATAGTAATACAACACTTTTTTCTATTCGTAATAATAAAATAATTAATGATAAACAACCTTATTAAGGTTATTCCTATTTTTTGAAAGATTTTTTAATAATTATTAAATTTAATCTAAATATGATTATTTCTTTATTAAAACCCTTTTTTATCTCACAGCCTTTTATATTACATTTAAAGCATTTTTATAAATATTTAAAAATTATAACTTAACTTTTCGGCTCTAAGAGCCATTTTCAAAACAAAAAATTTCTTTTTTAAAGAACAAAACATTGATCGCATAAAACCATTATTTCTAAAAAAAAAAAATCTTAAGATATATATGTATATAGAATACTACTTAATGGTAGTAATTGTTTTCTTAAATATAAAATGTTTTGTTTTCTTTTTCGTTTTCATCCAAAATTCCACGAAAATACTTCTCTTCACCTCATGAAAATTAGATTAAAAATAATTAATTTAAAATACATAAAATCAGTTCTTCTACATTTTCACAAATTATTTTGACACTTTACATTCCTGATATACGAGTATAGTCGATTTATTTCGGAACGCTATATTCTCTCTATTTATTTTAGAAAATTAAATCTCTTTGTTCTCTCAGCTTACTCTGTACTTAGTGTGTAACTATCTTGACATTTAACAACTTTTTGAAATTTAATATAATTATTGATTATTTGGATTCTCGGAGTTTTTGTCTCGACAACGATAGCCCTGAGGATTACCCAACATGTTTGGGTCGAAACGTCGGCTAACATAATAAAAATATTTTGACTGAAATTGCCGACAATCTTGTTTGATCCATATATATATATATATATATATGGTAATATGTTTGAACAGGTAGATAAATTTAGGTATCTAGGTTCTACGATAACTAGAAAAAACGAAATTGAAGAAGAGATTAAGGTTAGACTGAAGGCGGGGAATGCTTGTTATTTTTCTGTGACAAAACTACTTAGTTCGCGCCTCTTGTCCCGAAACTTAAAAATTAGAATCTATAAAACAATTATCTTGCCTACAGTTCTTTATGGATGCGAAACTTGGCCGCTTACATTAAGGGATGAGCAGCGTCTTAAGGTTTTTGAAAATAAAGTATTGCGTAGAATATTCGGCCCGAAGAAGGATGAGTTAACCGGAGAGTTCAGACGGTTACACAACGCCGAATTGCATGAGCTGTATCCGGATAATATAATTGAGGTAATTTCATCGAGGCGAATCAAATGGGCGTGTAAAGTTGTTGGGCTTAGTAACGAGAGAATTCCTAAAAGGTTAATATTTGCTGTGCCGAATGGTAAGCGTCCGAGGGGTAGACCGAAGCGAAGGTGGGAAGATTGCATTAAGGCCGATCTGAATGGACTGGGTTTGGACGGCGAACGGTGGAGGGAGGTGTGTAACAAGCGATTGGTGGTGTCGGCATCGAACCTTCGGGTTCGCTAAGCCTTATTATTTATATATATATATATATATATATATAGAGAGAGAGAGAGAGAGAGAGAGAGAGAGAGAGGAGGCGGGGTGACCGAGCGGGCTAATGCTTGTGCACACCTCACCCGGCAACCCGAATCAACGATAATTAAATACAAAGAACTACGAGTTCGTGTCCCGTTACCGCGACTTTTAAACGATAGCCCTGTGGATGGACCACATATTTAGGTCAAAACGTCGGCTAATCCAATAAAAATATCTTGACTGAAATTTCCGACAATTTTGTTTCATCCTTATAATTGACCAGTCTAGTATTTATCCATCTCTAAATATATATATATATATATGTATAGTTCCACATATATATATATATATATATATATGTGTGTGTGTATAGTTCCATATACACACACTATATATATATATATAGTGTGTATATGGAACTAGACTGCTGGGGAGACGAAGCGTGTCAGCGGAGGCCGTCGGTGCGGAAGGAGACGGCTGACCGCCCACCGCCCACCGCTCCCAGCCGCAGCCACCTACAACCGCTTCCTTCTCGCCGTCGCCAATTTCACTATTTCCCTTTCCCATTCATCTCAGAGAATTAATAATTCATAACTTTTAGTTTAGTTACTACGGAATGAAAAGTTTATATTTTTCCGCCTGTGGCAAGGTTAACAAAGTTGTAACTATTTAAAGACAGATTGTTTTAATGGTTGAGTATAGGTCAAAATTATTAATGATTAGTTAATTATTAAAATATTGTAATATCCCAAATAAATTATGAATAATCTAATAAAAGATATAAATCATAAAATATGGCTCAAGACACTTTTTTGACTAGATCTGAAAAAAAAAATATATATATATATATATATTTACTTCTAGAAGAAAATTTGTTTCTGTATTTTATAAACAATGGCCACAAAAACAGAATAGGAACTATATAATGTTTTTTTGCCAGAAGAGGCAAGAGGTTAATTTTGTATCTTGCTCCTAAAAAAGTCGGAATTTCATTCATCTCATTTTGTTGACTGAACAAAGGTCGGAGTTAATAACAAAACAATCAAAATGCGGAGCTACTATTTTTTCATGGAATGTAAAAAAAAAATAGCTTGGAATTCCTCACCACTCTTGCACTAAAATGTTACCATATTTCATATCCATATTCAGCGATTTACGTTTAATTTATCCTCAGAAATTTCATGATTACAAAGGAAATACCTTCAGATTTTTAAGTTTTGCAAGAAGTTATTGCACGTTCATAAAATGTCTAAGTATTTAAAATTTCCATATTTTCTTCTTTATTAATTAACACATCCTATCATATTTTACAATTACATTAGCTAGCTTTCTAATTGTATTTCACCTAATACATATCGTAATTTTTTGTAACTAGTAAAATCATTATACTTAGTGCATTTAGTAGTAACTTTAAAGTCACCTCAGAATAACAATGATGAACAAATAAAAAAAAATACAAATTCGGCCAACAACTAAATTAATAAAAATTCTAACGATATATACCGTAATTGAATAATAATATGTAAACAACTAATAAAAAATATATATATAATATATATAGAAAGAAAAATCAAAACCTGGAGAAAATAAAAATATTTTTGGTGTTAAAAACATTTTTAAAAACAAAACAATAGGCTTAATAACTTAAACTTAATAAAAGTTCTAATATATACTGTAATTTAAAAAATAATCTGTAAATAATAATTAAAAAATAAAAATAAAGTTTCCTGATCAAGAGCAGCTTATGAGGTGAGTAATAAATAATATAATACAACAGGAAGTTTCAATCGATAATCGAGTTAAAAGAAAAAAATGTATTTTATTAATAAATGATATTTATAATAATAAACGTATCACCAGTTAAATTACTAAATACATTGCCTGATAAATTCAAGTAGCTGTAAGCCATTATAACTAAATGCCATATATAAGCCCCGACGGATAAATCGATAATGCACCTGCTGATGCACTATCCGCGACCTCGACCTTTTAGCCGACTGCAGCTTAACAAGCTTTATAGCGCTTTAAGCACTTCATGCTTCGTTAGTAAGTCCTGCGCTTTATTAGGCCAATTAGTGGGATTAGTAGGCTAAGCACCTGGGCTGGTTTATTGGCAGAATACAGCTACCGTCTGCTCATACAATATTCATCCATAAAATAACAAGCAATACTATATCATAATTATTAATAATTCATTTTATGACTATAAAATTATCTTCTAAATGATAAATGTTTCTGTCAAGAATTTTTCACCGTAAAACTAGGAACTCATTAGTTTCTAACTTTGTTAAAATATCCTATTTTAAATTAAAATTAAAATAATCTAAATTCCGTTCGCCATAATATGGAAATAAAAATTGTGGGTTCATAGTTATTCAAAAGCATATAGGTTACCCATATCGACATAAAAACATCAACATTTTTATAATTCATTTTAAATTTTATTTAATGTTTTAATTTAATTTAATTCCATTTAGTTGATACAGCTATTTAAAAAAACAAAACAAATCTAACAAAATTGTATATTCTGCAATAGCCTTTATTTGAAATTCGCCAAAAAAATCAAAATTTTTGTTTTCAAGTTTACAAAAACTATGTTTTTATGAATTGTAAGTAATTCATAAAAACATAAATTTGAGACATTTTATTTTCCCTCAGTAAATTAAGTCTGAATATATGTATATTTAATTTATTAATATAATCAATATTCGCCATTACCAGATGGATAAATTGAAACATGTAGAAAAATAAACATGTGGAAAAAATATGTGTTAATGTTCTCGTGATCTAAAATAGTTCTATCCGTGATAATTGATTTGAAATTGCGTGATAATTTTAGCATTTTAAGCTGCTGACTTTGACCGGTAAATAAAAGATATTTTATTAAAGATCTTCAAAGGATTTAATTTCAGAATAAGTTAGTCGAGGGTGCGGTCAATATATGAAATATTATATTACACATTAGTACTTTTTCATTGAATTATCCAACGTTTCGAACTAACTCAAATCAAAAATTATTTGATTTACATATGTACACAACTCAATATTATGGCAACATTACCTTACACATGTTATAAATAAAGTGGTGTGTTTGATATTTTTTATGCTGAATATATTTTGTACAGTAGGAAAAATCCAATAAAAACTGACATAAGTTATAAACATGAATGAATAACATAAAAAAACTGTCTTTAATGTGTATAAACAAAACAAAACTAAGAACACAGTCACATATTTTGTATATTACAAATAGATAAATACACACACAAATACAAATACACCTACAACGTAGGTCTTCTTCAGGGCGTTCCATGAAGTACTAACGGAAGCAGTACGGATACGCTGTCGAAACGTTGGATAGATCAATAAAAAATACTATTATATAATATAATATTTTATAATTGAGAGAAGGATGGTTGCTGTCAATAACTAGCAGTCAAATTAAAATGATACAAAATAAATAATTGTATAAACTTTTTTACAATTTTAGTTTAACTGATCACCCCGACCACCCTCCTCTTCAATTATCCACTACAGTCAACCATAAACCCACAATTATAATATTTTATATATTGACCGCACCACCGATTTAACTGCTTCTGAAATTAAAATCCACGGTCAACCGTCCCCACAAGGTAATTATTAAGTAGTCATTAAAAATAAAATAAAATGATATCGAGATATAACAGGCAACTTGAGGCGGCAAGTTCCTGTTCACATGGAGGAGGGGATTTCCTACTAGAGTAGTGCGGAAGCCACAGTCATACAGATCAACTCTAAACGTTTCCTTCGTTAACTGGATGTGCTTGGTTCAAAGCGTTGTATTCAGGTCATTTCTTTGTCAAAGGCGCTTTAATTTCCCATTATTCATAAAAAAAAAAAAAAAGAAAGGAAGCCAGAATTAACTAGTTTAAAAATTATGAAACGATTACGATAGGTTTTCCATAGTCGAGGAAATGGATAAGCAATCTACTCTATATCATGGGGAGTATATAATAATAAAAAATAATGAAATACCATTATCAAATAAATTATTGTTTACAATTAGTGTTGCCCAAATGCGAGACCGTGACAAGTCTTGGTCTTGCAAACTCAGTCTTGGTCTAGATCTGGGTCCTTCGCAAGACTCTCGTAACAGTCTTGCAGTTACCTATTAGCTTATTACTAGAAAGATATTGCTGTTAGATATGAGAAACCTAACTAAGCCTGCATGAAAAATTAGAAGAGTTAACTGCAAAAATATATTGGTTACACCAATTCTTTATATATATTAACTAAAATTGTCAAGTATTAGTAACTATTTTGACTCAATTTTTATTCAAAAAATCGATTTTTTTTTTACCTGTCTTTGTCTTGGTCTTAAACTGATAGGCGGCGTTGGTCTTGGTCTTGCAAAGTGCAAGAACGAGACCGATTTTGGGCAACACTATTTACAATGCTGGCGTGCGATCAACAATTTGTTACGCTTGCATTATTGAAGAAGTCGAAAAACTAAATACATTTTTCATAAAAAAAAACTCCTTTCCCTTCCATATAATTCACCTCATTGTATTTTAGAATATATATTTAGAATCCAATTTTAAACCGATATTCTTCTATATTATATCATTAGATTTGCAATATATACAAAGGTTACTTTCTTTACCAGCATCAAGATTACCGAACATTTTGGCTAAAGAAATAATAAAACAGAAAATATTTTGGCACAAAGAAAACACTGAGCTCTGTAATAGAATTAATATCCCAGTAGAATACACCAGTGATAAAATAATTCCTCATATTTTAACTAAATTAAAAAATAATTTTAAAGCGGATATGAGAGGAAAACCGATCTAGTCCTAATATTACGTATTCCTACTGTCATCTCTTTAAATATTTCTCCCTACTTACGTGAAACTTTGATTATTAAACTTTATATATATATATATAAGCTATATGTGATATCGCTTCTGTCAGTGCGAAAGGTCGGATCTAAAAATTTTTCATGTTTATTCTCTTTGCGCTAAAGGTGACATTTTATAGTCTCCAACAGCTATAAGTTGTCTGATAACGTGGAAATAGCAGAGGGAAATAAAATATGAAACTATATTAATAAATCATAAAAAATAATGGGTTTTTAAAAACAACTTCTTTAAAAGAAATCAATTTTTACATACGACCTTTTGCACTAACAGTAGTGATATTTTCCAATATACAAATAATATCGGCAAGATACTTGTTATCGGCTGGTTTAGAAAGCTAGACAGACCTCAGAGCACAGAAGACTGCCGCTTTGAGTTTCGTGTACTAATAATTAGAAGAGTCTATCTGAGGCCCTGGTCACGTACTCAAAAAGTGAACACAAACCCTACTCTCTATTTTATTATTTTTTTTTTTTTTACATATTTTAATTAATCTCTCGAGATGTAGTGTGGTGTAACAACTCACACCAGCCTTCGAAAGCCGCTCTTTCGCCCTAGCTAACAACTACTAATATTTCCATCAAACCGCTATCGTAAACTGTTAGCATTACAAGTTTATTTGTACAATCGTAAATTGAGGGGGGCTTTAGGGCCGTCGGTTGGGTG